CATAATTACAAAAATAATTACAGTGATATGCAGTTGTGACCCACAGCATGTTTGCTTAAGCGGTAGGAGAGGGGAAAATGAGGAAAAACCTTTTTTTCCTTGTTTAATTTGAATCTATGTGTGATGGACCTTTAGTTCACAAATTCCCACCCATGTACTTGACAGCACAGGGGCCCATGGTTCTCTGTTCATAAACCAAAAAAACTTGAAACTAAAACAGTGGGCGTCATGTGGTGTTTTCAAAAGGATGGGGACTTATTACACTTTGAGAACAACCACTAGAAGGGAAAAAAAAATTGGGGGGGCACACAGCTAAATATTTCGTTTTAAAGGGTGTAGACATTCAAGCAAGTGCCCCTTTTTACAAAGTTTAAAGGGAAAAAAGTTTTTTTGGGGTGTCTCACACTTAAAAACATAAAGTGGTAATTCTAAAGGGGCATTTTGCCTTTCCACTGGGCCCCAGTGCAGCTTTTGGTGGCGTTTTTAATTGCTCCAGTTATATACTGTGGTCCAGAGAGAGTTGAAATAAGTCTAAAATGAGGGGGCAGACCAGGGACGGGTGGACTGCAATGAAAGTGGCAAAACTGGAGTCTGCGGCATGGGGGGCCCCAAAAACAACGACGGCAGCTAATTTTTGAAAATAGAAAAATAGAAAATCGGTAAACCGCTGCATGTCATTTAAGCCCAGTCAAGAAATTGTTGTTCAGATTTTTCCCTAAACAGCGATTGCGGCTTATGGTTGTAGGGACCGGCACTTGGCCCCTCGAGGTTAACTGGTTTTAAATGGGCCAATGTGGTGGAAATAAACGGTGGGTGTCAAGATTTCATTCAAAAATTTAAAAAACCTCCCTGACACTAGATGGGGGGGCAGGGACCATGGTCACAAAACTCTATCACCGAGTTCAGGAATAACGTCAGCACGTTGAATTTTAAATGTCAAAAAAATAAATTAGCGAAGCGCGTGTGCCTGCGGGGACGACATGTGAACGGATCCTAACTCAATCGCACCAAATAGAGGTTTGGATTCTTTTCTCAGTGTAGGTGCTTGCGAAAACACTGCTTCAGGGGGGGGTTTTCGTGGTGGTACATTTAAGGGGAGGTTTTAAGGAAAGCCATGGGAGTTTTTTGTTGGAGAACCCAGTAGCTGCATGTTAAGGCATCGCGGGCACTGTGTATAATGCCTTCGTCGGCAGAGATGGGACGGGGATAATGTTAATTGATCCATTTAAAACATTCTAGATTTGTATAAAACAAGATGGAAATAGATTTCTTTATTCCTACAAGGCAAAAATCCTATCAATCCCAATCGGATTTTGTTTGTAGAAGCGCCTTCCCTAACACAAAGGAACGCAAAGTGCCTTCACCAAAACCCACTCACATCAGGCATAAATCATTCCCAAAAAAACAATAGAATTCTACATAAAACCTAAAAAAAAAAAAACTAACACATATAGAGAAAACAAAAGATATATTTAAAAAAACGTGAAAATTAAAAAAATCACGACGTAGTTAAAAAAAATCCTTTAAAAAAAAACATTTAAAAAAATCAACCACATTGGGGGATTCAAATCATAAATATGCCTTTTTTTAAGTGCATTAAAAGATTAAGGATAAAATCAATTTGGTTGTATTGCAACAGGCAACTGGGTTTTAGGCATAGGAATTTGAAAACTTTGCCAGAGTAGTACACCTAACACACTGTTTTGGATTTACTTATTTTCCCAAGGACCATTTATAAATAAATTATTATAATTAATTAATTAATAATTAATGCATCAGTTATATATAGTTCCTTTTTTTGGACATTCAAAAAACGCGTACATGTCCCAGTATATACTTTCGCTTCCCCCCATACGCGGTTTGTAGCCCCACCCCTAGCTTGCCCCCTTGGGTGGCACCACAGGACAGCAGCGAGGCAACCAGTTCTGGTGCCCTTTCGGACCCTTTTCCCCTTCCATCACCTAACCATTCAACCACACACACCCCAGTACTCATTCTAGGCAAAAATGGGGTTGGGAAAGTGTTTCTTTGGCCTATAAGGGACACAAACGGGCCAAGGTTTTTGGCACTTTACAGCCGCAAGCGCCCCCAAATTTATCAAAATTAGTTTTGCCTTATCCCCCATATGTCTCAGGGCTGGGGGCCTGGGGAAACGCCTTTGGGGTCCCCATTTGGGACCGGAAGCCGTGAGGAAAGTGTGTGGTTGGGATAGTGGGAAGTCTTGGGCGGGGTCCTCTGGCTTAGGGGATTGCTGCCCCCGCGGGACCCGGTTAAACGGATGAAGGGGCAGGAAAGAAAAGGGGACCGGTGAATGGAAAATTGGAAATGATTTTTACATGGTAATGCAACACAAAAAAGGGGAACCTAAAACAATAAAGGGTGGATTCCAATTACACATGGCATTTTACAGTTTGAAAAGGGGGTTGTTACAAAAAGCAGGGACCTTCTTGTTAAATTAATACAACCACAAAAAAACACCAAACAACACCACACAACAAAAACACCACACACTCCGCAGGGGGGGACACAGGCCCTAACCACTTTCTTACCCTACATCTCGGGAGAAACCACTGGATTTCACAAATTTAACCAGGCCATGTTCCAGGGAAGGGGTACTTTGGACGGGTACTGAGGTGGGGGTGGGGACATTTTTCCGCAGGCTGCTGGAGGAATCTGTTCACTTGCTTCTTTGGATAACATTGAAATGTTCTCTGCCCTTAATTGAAGTAATGGCATTTTCTAAAAAATATTGATTTCCCCATTGTAATGGAATGAAGCACCAGAAAAAGGGCCATGTTTTTGAGATGTGGGTCCCACTCCGGAGGCGACGGTTTGCTAATCTGTTTTTAGAATCAGGAGCTTACTGTGTTACGCCACTGAGGGGCCTGTTTAATGATAATATTTGAAGGTTTTTGTTAAAGTTCAAACCTAAATTTTTTGAAGGCCAATACTTTTTATTTTTAAAGATGGTGTCTGAAAACATCAAAAAATATTGTTTTTTTTTTACTATCCTTTACACTGGAGATCGGGTGGGAAGTAATGTTGGCATGGGGGACTTTATCTTTTACAACACTTCATGGGCTTTCCCTGGTATATCGCTGGGGGTTTTTTCAACCCTTTTGTCCAACCAGCTTACAATCCCTCCTCTGTTGGGTTGAATTGGGGGGGGGACCCAATTCATTTTGTCATTGTTTATTTGTCTTTGGGGGGTGGGGACAATTCCACAGCTTGCTTTTATACTGCCTTGGGGGTTTCTTAACTGGCTGTTTTTAATAGTCATTTTCTAATGGGGATCATGTTTTTAACTTTGGGGCTTTTTTTAATCAAGGAGTTTTTTGTCTTTCTGTGCAATTTTAATTTCCCTTGTGGTTTGTTTTTTTTTTTTATTAAAATTATTGGTTTTTTAGGGGACGTGTTGTTCTCACCCTGTGTTGTTTTTTAAAGTGTCTCAAATACAAAAAAAGTTGAATTGAATTTGGAATCTTTTGAATATTTTTAACCTTTGAGTTAGGTTTTGGTCCTTTTGGTGTGGTTGTGTCTATTCGGTCTTGTTTTCAGGTTATAAAAAAAAAACCTGCTTGGGGGGCCTTTGTTTGATTAGCAAAAAAAAACCAACGGGTTAAGGTAACGGGGTAAAAAATTCGAAAGGGAGCGCGGGGCCCAGGGAACAGGGAAGCCGATGAGCTGTGCCCTTTTTCTAATCCTTTGCCGCCGCTTTGCTTCCCAACCAAAATGCACGCCTTGCGGGGCCTACAACTTACCCTGCTTCCATCCACCATAAACTTGGGGAACAGAATAGAAGCATTCAAGGTTTTTTCTTTTGTAGGGGCTGACCAGATTCGGGGGGACCCTAAAGGGCCGGCTGGCCAGTGCTCCCACCACCGGGGCGGCCCAGAGGTCCAAGGGGCAAAACAGGCAAAGGAACTGCTTTCTCTTCACAAAAGGACGGTTTTTTTTCTGTCCACAAAACAAACTCGCGCTGCAGGACGAAAAGTTGGAAAAAAATTAAAGTCGGAAAAAATTTTGAAGTCAGTGAAGGTGATTTTAAGGGATCGGGGCCTTACTCACTTTTGTTCCATTTCAGTTTATGTTTAGGTATCGCCCAAAAATCCCATCAACACTAAGTTACAAGTGTTTTTTTAAATGCTTTGTGTGGGAGAACCTTCTGGGGGGAAAAACAACCAGGGGGGCCCACGTTGGGGCGTGGGGCAGCAAGCTGGTAAAGTTGCCCCAAATGTTGTTGTGTCCTTAGGCAAAGGGAGGACAACTTTCCCCCCAAACCATTTAAGAATTAGAGGGTTTTTGGTGTGTGTTGTTAGAATGGTTTGGTGGGTGGTCGGCAGGTGGGGGGTCGATGGGCAACAGACTGGGTTAGGGCCTCGCTTCTGTCATTTGTGGCCCCAGGGGCAGCTTGGGGGCTTTTCCATTTGGAGTTCATTCCACCCCACTGGGGGAGTGGAAGGAATGAAGCTTTTCTTTGAATTATCCAACAAAAACGCTTTATTAAAACCGACGTTTAACCAGGTTATTAACATTCTGTCTGCTGCTGAAAGTGTTCTTCTCATGTTTTCAGCCCATGTGGAAAGAAAGTAATTTGGCAGTAAAAAGATGGCAAGAGTTCTGAAAAGTGTCTTTCAGGGATTTAACGGTTGAAATATTCCACGAGGGCAGAAACCCACAGGGGTGGTTTATTCCAAAAAAAAAAACCAGGTTTGGTTTTAAACCCACAGGGGACAAGGGGGGAAACACAGCCACACACCACACACAAACACAGGCACCCAACACCACCCACAACAACAACACACACACAGACAGACCACCACACAAAACACAACAAGGCCACATAACACCACACCAAGGCACATACCACACGCACATTAACGTAACACACGAAACAGCACACAACAGCCCAATCACAACCCCCACAAACAATGGCACCCCATAACAACACACACAGACCAGTCACACACACAGCAACATGCCACCAACACACAACAGGGTTACAGACACACAACCATCACATACCACACCACCACCACCCCACAAACACAGCACATACACACACCACAATCACGCACACACACAAGCCAACCATTTGCCCACCAACACACAACCGACAGGGGGGTCACCACCAACCAACCCACAGACAGCCCACGCCACCACATTTTTTCACATAACACACCACACAGGACAGTCACCACAAACACAACAAGGGGGGGGGGTACCAAGGTCACACACAACACACAACACAACCACAGGAGACCGCCAATGGCACCACCACACAACAGGAACCGCACACGCAACATCATAACCACCACACCAACCAGGAAAACAGGCTCCCCCACACAAACAGGGGGGGTACAGACCACAACACACAAAAAGGACAGAACAACACAACCACAACACACCCAGAAGCACATGCACCACACACACAGCCAAGCACCCCAACACACACAGGAGAAAAGCCACAACCGCCCACAACCATCAACATAACCCACCACACCAGGGAGAGGGGGGACCAGCACACACCAAACACACAAAAAGAAAACAAGCACACCACTCACACAAACAGTGGGGGACCAGCACACACCCACACAGGACAGGCCACATACACCACAAACCAGGGGGGGGACATGACACATACAACCACACAGGGACAAGGTGCACACCACAACACCCCAAACAAGGGGTACAGCCACCCCACAACAGACAGCACACACAACAGACAGCACCAACCCACCCACAGCACGGACAGCAAACCACCCAGGGTGGGACAGCACACACCACCACAGGGGGGAAACAAGGCACAAACACACCCCACAAGCACAACACAACACCCACCAACAATAGGATTTCAAGTAATTGGTTATTGTACCCAAGATCGAGGTAGAATAGACCTGTCCATTGGTTTCACCCCAGGGGGGGTCTACGGTTCAAAAACATTAACAGGCACAGCTCCTTGTGTTAAATCCCTTACATTTTTAGGTGACCTGTTGGTTGCCGTAAGAAAAAAAACCAACCTTGGGACCTCTGAGGGGAGCACAGGGGCCTGACCTTTCTGTGGGGACTCTGAGGAGCACAGTGTGGGTGACTGGCCCTCCTTGGCTGTTGGGAACCTCTTGAGGGGAATGGGCCCACAGGGGACTGAACCTTCCTTATGCTGGGACTCTTGGAGGAAGGGGCCACAAGGGGGGGACTGGGTGCCTCTTGCTGGGGTACTCTTGAGGGTAAAGCCAACAGGGGGGTTTGGGTGGAATGGGGGCTCCTGTGGGACTCTTGAGGAGCACCAGGGGGCTGGACCTTCCTGCTGGGACTCTGCGGAGACAATTTGGAAACTTGGCCTCCTGGCTGGGGGGGGGGGACTTATCAGTGGGTCGGCATAGGGGGGACTGGCTCCTGCTGGGGGGGACTTCTGAGGGAGCAACAGGGACTTGGGGCTTCCTGCTGGGACTCAGGGGGGAGCCACAGGGGAAACTTGGGCCTGCCTGCTGGGGACCTCTGAGGGAAGCCACAGGGGGGGGGGGGACTGGGGGGGCCTCCTGCTGGGGGGACTTGAGGGGAGCACTGGGCCTGGACCTACTTGCTTGGGTGGACTCTTGGAGGGGGAGGCACAGGGTGGGGGGGGGTACTGGGGCTCTTGCTTGGGATCTGAGGGAGCACCAGGGGGGGGGGAACTGGGGGCTCCTTTGCTGGGACTCAGAGGATTGGGCCACAGGGGTAACTGGTGGGGCTTCCTGCTTGGTTACTTTGGGAGGAGACTGGGGGGGGGGGGGGGGGACCTGGCCTCTGCTGGGATCAGAGGAGCCACAGGGGTGGGTAACTGGCTTCTGCTGGGGGACTCTGAGGGAGCACAGGGGGGGGGGGTGGACTGGCCTTCCTGCTGGGGGGGGGGACTTTGAGGGGCGCACAGGGGGCTGACCTCTATGCTGGGGACTTTAGAGAGCACAGGGGAGGGACTTGGGCCTGTTCCTGGCTGGGGACTCTGGGAGCACAGGGGGACTGGGCCCTCCGGCCGGTATCCCAGGAAGTCAGGGAGTAAAAATGGGGAGGCTGGGCATTTCAGGTGGCATATGCCCCAAAAAAAATCGGGGAACCAAGCCTTTTCCTAATGCTTTTACGGGAGGCCCTTTATCCTCGGAAAGATTAAAGCTGAAAAAAAAAAACACCGTTTCTTTTTTAAGCTGTGGCAAAATTTGGGACTTTGTTTATATAAAGTGAGTATTTCTATAGAGTTTAAATTCTGGATAAATTTTCATGGGTTCTGAAAATGTTTTCTTTTTTTCATAGCAACATTTTTTTTTTTTCTCTATGTTTTCAATATGTTTTGTAAAAATTACAAACTTGAATTGGGATTTGATTAACAGAATTTTAAGGATTAAAAAATACCTAAATCACCAATGTGTCCAATTGACAAAACATCAGGACTTTACAAAACCCCGCCCTTTACAGATTGACAGGAGAAATTATTCTTTGTAGATTCCACGGAGGCTATCACTTGCAACTTCATTTCAAAAAACTTTTGTTTTCTTTGTGAACTTTTTCCAACCGCATTAATCAGGCGTTTCCAAAAGCCCCGGAACGTACCTCTTTTTTCATTTCCTTTCTTCCGAACGTCTTATTGCCCAGGCCCCAAGAAAGCCCAACTTAATTTTATTTTATTGGACTTGGGAATAAGGTTGAAAAGTGTGGCCTGTGCCAGTCATTTAAAGGGGACAGGCGGGGAATTAAAAGGGCGCAGCCGTAAAAATAGGCGTCATTTGATTTCTTGAAAATTAAATCAAAAAGTGTTTAACGTTGGAAGGGAGGGCATGTACTGTCCTTTAAAGGGGGGGGTGACCGAATCCACCAGGAGGGGTCCTTTTGCCAGGGAAAAAAAACGGCAAAACGCAATATTTTCAATTTTGATAGAAAAAACAGTTTGGGGGACAAGGAAAGTTGAAAACGGGGAAGGTTGGGGAAGAATACCATTAAACTTAATTGACAGGGGCTTTTTTTCAAATTTGGTTTGCATTCACCAGTCAGAAGTTTGGATTCAAGAGGCTGCCTTCAGGAGACGTGCCTTGTTTTACATGCTTGGATTTACAAATGGTGCTGGAAAAATTGCACACGCAAACAGGGCACGAAATATCATTCATTACCCCAATTTTCAAATTCCATGTATTTTCTTGTTATAGCCCCTAGGATGCACAACATTTAGTCTTTTTTGGAAATGTTGTGGAAAAAACGGCTTTGCAAGTTACCTAAGGGCATAGCTTCTGGAAAAAACAAGTGGTTGTTTTTTATGCTTGTTTTGAAATAACTTATTTTTTCTTGCTTTATTTTCTACCTGAGGATGTTTGCTGCAGTTACAGTGTTCCTGGTTTTTGCCCTGGTCCCGGTACCCAGAGCAGAAGGGATTCATGGTCCGAAAACCAAAAAGGTGGATCAGGTGAAAAAAATCACTGGGAGGAATGCCTAACTTTTGGGAAAAATTGCCTAATAAAAGGCATTTAGCATTTTACTTTGGGACTTAGAGCAGAGAAAAATGGTCCCAATCAAAGCTGTTTACTCACACTGTGGAAAAGAGTGTTCGGGCTTTTTTCAGGCCGAGGGGGGCCCGACCCGAGGTTTTCGGGGGGGCGGGGCCTCGGGGGCCTCCCCCACTGTTCCACCCATCACAGTCGGGCCGTTCCGGGCTCGGGCCTCCTTTTAATTTACTTTTTTCTTTTTTTTTTAAAATCCATTTTCAAAAATAAATGATATGTATATATGTATTTATTAAATAATAATTTGTCCGTTGAATTGACAACAAGTTATTAAAAAAGTTGAATATTTTATAACTCCGTAAACCGGGCGTGGGTTCCTAACAGCCGCAGCAAGCCATGGAAACGGCATTCATCCCTGTTTTTCCTGGTTGGGAAATTGCTACGGTTCAACAAGCGGAAACACAGGCATTCAAGTGGGGGACGTACAAAAACACATTTTTTTCAGGAAGGGGGCTATAACTTTTGCAATTTTGGAAGGGGTGGGGGGGAGTGCGCACAAAACAAGGGGGAAATCAGATGTAGTTATCGGGTCGGGGGGCTATTATTTACAACCTTTAATTGGTCTTCTTGACCCATCATGCTTCCACCAGAGGCTACTTCCTCTTCTTCTGTGAACCGTTCCTGGCTTCCACCCAGGGAGTGGCTTCTCCACTCTTTCTTTTCATGACCCCGTCCTAGGCTCCACCCCAAGGAGGGGGGGCTTACTTCCACTCTTCTTCTTGTGTGGAAAACTGGTTCCATGGGGCTCCACACAGAAGTGCTAACTCCACCTCTTCTTCTGGTGGTGAACCCGTCCTGCTTCCCACCCAGGAGGAGGCCTTACTCCAACCTCTTCTTCTGTTGGGGGGGGGGGAACCCGTCCTGCTCCCACCCAGAGGTGCTACTCCATCTTTCTTCTGTCTGTGGGGACCCGTCCTAGCTCCACCCAGAGGCTTACTCCACTCTTCTTCTGTGACCCGTCCTGCTCCCACCCAGAGTGCTTTACTCCACCTCTTCTTCTGTTGACTTCTGTGACCCGTCCTGCTCCACCCAGAGGCTACTCCACCTCTTCTTCTGTGACCCGTCCTGCTCCACCCAGATGGCTACTCCAACCTCTGCTGCTGTGACCTGAGGCTGTTGCTGATTATTACTACTTTTTAGTTATCTCAGAGGACTTGACATAATTGTTCAGTTTGCCAACAGAGAATCAAACAGTTCAAACAAAGAAATGCAAGAATAAAAACGACACATAGAACCATTGGTCCACAAAGACCAATGCCCATAAATGTTGTTTAATGTTGAGTGTCCAGGTTCATGGAGGCGACAGTGGCTCAGTTGGTAGAGCATGGGCCTCTGAGCCTGAAAGGTGTCGGTTCGAGTCCACCATGAGACCATCTCCACCAACTCTCACTAATCCTACTTTGCCTGAAGCCCCTGCTGAAAGAAATAAGTAATGTTTATTTTATATAGGGCATTTTACAGACCAAGGTCACCCAAAGCTCTTTACAATGTTCAGAATTCAGAAATTGTTCCAATCATTCCACACACAGTGATGACAGAAGTGAGTCCAGAACACACTGGACCATCAGCCCAGACATGCAAACTCCACTCAGAAAGACCCTATTCCGACCGGGATTCGAACCCAGGACCTTCTTGCTGAGAAGGCCCCAGCTGTGCTTTCACTGACAGAGCAGCCATCCTCCTGTGGACTCACTTCACAGTTTTCTGGTACTTTTTTAACCCTCAGTAAAAAAAAATCCCAACTATTATTGGTGTAAATTTGACAAAATGTGCAAAAGTTCTATATTAATACTTTAGAGGCACTGTACGTAATGTAGAATGCGTCGAACCGACTTTATAGAATGGACACAATAGCACTTGTTTGTATTCATTATTCCACTTTTTAAAAACCTCCGTGATTTTGTGATGTATATATTTTAAAGTAAGGCCAAACAGAGGGAGCACCTGTACGCTGATGTGAGATGCAAATTCATATCCAGCAGCACAAGGCCGTTTACGCCGGGCTAAAGCTAATTATGCTAATGAATGGAAATGTCGTGCGAGCTGTTTTTATCATAGTGCGTACAGAATGAGTACAGTTCACTTTTTTTTTTAGCTTCAGTGTCAAGAATAGTCCA